GTGTGGGAGGTTGGGTTGGAAAGGAAGTGTCCAAGGAAATAAAAGGAATCAAGATACACCCTACCCTCTAAACACTATTATTCTCATTCTCTCTCTCTCTCTCTCTCTCTCTCTCTCTCTCTCTCTCTCTCTCTCGCTTACAAAGTTGAATGTGATTCTCCCTAACCTGCCCAAAAAATTCAATCAATTTTAATCAAAATATCAACAGGCTATTAAAAAAGTACATGATAAGCAGATTCTAAAATTTACATAAGACCAAAGGGTCAGAAGATCCTGAAAAAGATCAGATTTGCTCTATTATGTATTAAGAATCATAGCTAAAGTGGGCCTCCCGGGTGGTGCAGCGGTTGAGCGCTGGGTTGCGAGGCTGCCCGCGGCCTCTGCGGCACCGGTTCGATCCCCGGCTGCTCCCCGGCCACTGGAGGAGGGTCCCACATGGCGCGCAGACCTCTCCTGCCGCCCGCTGCTCCCCTCAGCAGTGTACTTCGGTCCTTCTGCCTGCTCTGCTCCCCGCTCTGGCTCTGGTGAATTCTCTCGCCCTCCCGCGCTTCTGACTGTACCCAGTGCATGTATAAACAAGCAAACAAACAAACAAACAAATAAATAAATAAAAACATGCCTCTATTAAAAAAAAAAAAAAAGAATCATAGCTAAAGTAATTAAGGCAACATGCTGATAAAATAAGTTAACATAACAAAGCAGAAAACACAGAAACAGAGCCTGGCATACACAAAGCCTGATAAAATAACAGCTGATAAAATAACAGCTAGAATCGCAGGCATGTGGGGGAAATGATAAAAGTTTCAATGAACAATCTTGGAGTCTGTCCAGCTCCATTTAAAAAACAAAAGTGAAAATAGATCCTGCTTTACAGGTACATACACCCTCCCTCCCCCCCCCCCCCCCAGATAGTTCAAAGATTAAAAATGTAAAAGGCAAGGCCTTGCCAGTGGCACAGCAGGTTGAGTGCAGCGCTGTGAAGCTGTCCCCAGCCTCTGCAGCATGGGTTCGATTCCAGGCAGGCCAGGGAGATTCCCACATGGCGTGGCAGACCTCTCCTGTCTTGCCCGCTGCTCCCCTCAGCAGTGTCTTTGGTCCTTCTGCCTGTTCTTTTCCCTACTCTGTCTCTGGTGAATTCTCTCGCCCTCCCACGCCTCTGGCCTGTACCCCAGTGATTGCATAAATAGATAAATCTTTAAAAAAAAAATGTAAAAGGCAAATTGTGAAACTTGTAGAAATAACAAAGTATCTTTGATCCCTAGTCAAACCAAAAAGGAATTAGTTCAACTACACCAAAAATTGTAACTCCTATTCATCAAAAGATACCACTAAAAGGGTGAAAAGGCAAATCACACTCTAGAAAACTATATTTAACAACATAACTATCAAAGAATTAGTATATAGACTACAAGTAGTATTTATTATTAAGGAAAAACAGTAGAAAATGGATTAAAGAATAGATGTTAAAGAAAAACTCAAGTGAATGACAAATTAACATATGAAAAGATGCTCATTTTCCCCAGTCAACAGGGAAATGCAATCTAAAACCACAATAAGACCATTTCATGTCTCCCGAGTCAGCAAAAATTAAAGTACTGTAATACAATAATTGGCAAGGATGTTCAGAAATGGAAACATTCATCTTTTGCGTGTGAGAATGAACGTAAAAAAAGTTTAGTTAAATCAAACATAGGAATATTCTGCAACTCAGGGATGCTACTCCTAAATAAACACAGCTAAGCAACCTTTAAATCTTTGAACAGGACACACCCTGATACGTTTTACATCCTGACCCAATATCCACATAACTGAAACAGGTTTCAGTGAAACAACTCTTTCATTGTTCTGTTCTCTTTCTATGTTCTGTTTATTTCTATTGCACTCCATTTAGTGTTAGCCACTAAATAAATTTCATAGTCTATTAATACAGTGTTTTTTTAACATCAGAATCATAGGCAGCATTTTAAAAAACTAAAACCAAAACAAAACTGATGCCCAGGTTAAGTCCCTAAAAACGGATTCAGTTGGTTTAGGATGCAGACTGGACACAGATTTATTATTTTAAGCTTATTAAATAATTCTAACAAGCAATTAAAATCATGAGAACTAAATGAAAGGGTTGCCTAATTCTTGAAGTATTGCCCTGGATAATAAATATTGCACACATCTAGCAACAATTATGTTCAAGGTTACTCAAAGCAAACATTATTAATGAAAACAACCCAAATGTGTATTAATAGATGGGTTAAATAAATTGCCATATAGCTATACAATGTACTAGTACATAGCAGTGAAAATGAACAAACTATAGCTACATATGTCAATATCAGCAGTGAAAATGAATAATCATAATGGTATGTGTATCAATATGAATCTCAAAAACATAAAGGTGGGTCACAAATAGAAGTCCTGAATATGATTCCATTTGTAAAAGACTCCCAAATAGGCAAGCCTAAACCATATATTAGTTGGAGATGTTAAGTCATAAAATTATATTACAAAGGAATGAAAAATACAAAACTCAGGATGATGACTATTGAGGAGGAGAGCAACAGGATAGAGCATGGCACATGGGGATAGAGATACCATTAAAATTCCAGGCTGAGGGGTGGAGACAAGGGTATGTTATTAAAACTTTTATAATTTTGTGTTTATCATGTCATCACAAAACTAAAGAATTAAAGCACAATTCTATTTATATAAAGTTGTTAAACAGGTTAAACTGGACACAGGTGAAAAGTTAGACAACAGTTGCATGAAGGCAGTGGAAGGATTAGATTGTTTGGGACAGAATGTGGAAGCAGAGTGATAACTGCTGAAGCTGGTGACAGGATTCAGCACACTGTATTTTGTATATGTCATTTTCTGTAACAAATATTTTAAAGAGAAAGAATAAAAGGAATTGGATAAGAAAGACAAACTTTTATTAAAAAGAGCTTGTTAAGTTATAAAACTAGTGCAAAAAAGATCTTAGATTTTGAATATAATAAACAAAATAAAACAAAAACTTTAGAAATCACAAAAAAAATTAATGAACATTAATTACAAATCACAGGAGTGGGTAAATATAAGTGCAATCAGAGTCACTATTAGGGCACCAGTACCCTTAATCTCATTTTGTCAGTGCAATTTCAAGTTGCAGTTGGTAATTCTGAGATAAAAGAAGGAAAAGGGAAGTAATAAAGAGTAAAACTGGAAGATTCTCAAATTGATCAAAGAGATAGGCATGCTCTTTTGTATTTAGGTAAATAATGCATATGCAATTTGCTAACAAGCCCTACCCATACCCAAAGTTCAGAATTGTCCACATTTTCTCTTTCCTTCTGTTTCATTTTTGTATTCTTCCTTTGCTCTCCATGGCTGTCCCTAAGTATGTTTTACCCTATCTTGAGCATTCCCCTTCTTCATTTGCATTTCGCAAAAGTAATTTTAACTCAGCAATTCCCTTAGGTATTGTTTTTTTGGGCTGGGGCATGATTCTTTTTAAATTGAAGTAACAATGCATTCTTCTTGATGTATTAACTTCCATAATTTTTTAAATAATTTCCATAATTTTAAATATCATGTTTCCAATGTCATTTTCAGGTTTTCCTGCTTTAAATAAATACTGACTTACTGCTAAGGAGAATGAAGATTTAGTGTTCACCAACACAAATACATTTCTTTGTCCTCTTCCCACACATCATTTTTAGTTCATTCCCTAATTTTCTCCTTCATTCTTTAATGAATCTAGTCTAAATATATTTTTCATTCTCCCACATGCCAAATATATACCCCATCACTTTTCATAAACAAACTTAAAAAACATACACCATGAGGCTTTTTAATTACAATCTCACATGAAATCTTGGAAGTAGAGCAAAATTATAAATAAGAGATATGCAATATACAAAGCACCAAGCTTCTTCCGCTTGGGTTTACCTACCTATGAAATTCAGATATATCTCCATTTGCATCTATTACTAGCTATGGACCATACTGCTAAAAAACCCTAAACCTTATTCTAAAACCTATTAGAGTCCATGAACCCTTACTGAGTTCTAAAACCCAAAAAAGTTTTGATAACCACAAGTTCTTTCCTTAGATTTAGACCTAAAACAAATTTTGTGGCCTAAACTTACATGAGATTACTTATAGTCTTTATTCCATTTTGTGTGACTAGACCAGTGATTCTTAACTAGGAGCAATTTTGAACCATGGGGAACATATGGCAATGCCCAAAGACATTTCCTTTAGTTACACTAACTAGGTGACAGGTGCTCCTGACATTTAGAAGGTAAAAGCTAGCAGTGGTGTGAAACGGCTTATAAATCACAGGACAGATACCTTCAAAGAAAGGATTATTTCACCCCAAAACGTCAATAGTACTAAGGTCATTACAAACCTGTACTAGATTCATGTTTGCAGAAGATACATTAACATGATGGTTACTGAGTGCTGCCTCAGATGCTTCTGAAGGAATTATAGAATATGAGATATATATAAATATATAATATTTAATATATATTTTATAGGTATACATTATATATTTAATATATATTTTACATGTCCGTATACATGTAAAATATTTGTGTGTGTGTGTGTGAGCATTACTACTCAAAAATCAAAAAAATCTCCATTTCATAACAGTTGGCCACCAGGATTTCATACAAGGGATTGTAGACTCTGTATCAGCATTCTTATGATAGTTTTCTTTCTCAAATATCACAAATATAATTAATGTTAGGAATCCATAAACGATGGTCCACGACATAGAAAATGGAGATAAAGAAACTCACTGAATATAACAAGTAGCATGAAAAACAACTTGAGTTTTATTCTTTTCCATCACCATTTAAAATACCTTTCTAACGTCTCTGTATAGCACCATGAATTGTTTTTCTTGGATCTGTTTCTTGTTTTCACTATTAAAAAAGTATCAATTTATTATACTGTAATTAAAAAGATGTCAAATGGGTAATATAAAATAATAGACTCTTGAAACAACAGTAGCTATTTACCTTTCTCTGTGCTAGAGAATATAGAGATGATTTTATTCCTGGGCTTTTTTTCCTCTGGAACAGAGGGCAAAGGTTTCAAACTGTGATTGGCTGACAAAGGGTCTTTGCCTCCGGTGCTAAAAATGGTACTGCTCATTCGCACAGGAGGTGCTGGAGGCTTGTCTTCCAGTTCTCCGTTATCAGACATGTTTCAGAATTATGACAATGCCTGAAATAGATAGGAAAAAAAAAAAGTTAATAACAAACAGTAATGATATGTACAAAACAGAAATAATCCCTTTTCCAACTGTGAATTAGAAAATACATCATCTATTTAGAGTATAATTTGCAAGATTTTGAAAACTCAATGAGTAAGACATGACAATGGTTACCAATATACGTTATCACCTCTAACAAAGACAGTAAATGGCTAGAAAATGCTTGAAAATTCATGACCAGTTAAGAGAATTATGTAGTTTATAGTAAGCACAATTATACTACCGTATCAAAAGAAATTCAATATATCAATTGATTCTAAGAGTGAAAGCTCCAGTAAAAAGACAACATGAAGTCTTAAAAGAGAATCACAAAGAATATCTTGACCAGCCAACCAAAAGGATATGTCTCTGACAGACTCATTTCTAGAGCAGAGTGGAAGCCTGCTAATAAAGTATTATCAACCAAACCCCCCAGTCTGATTTCATGCTCACAACAGAGGCTTCACATAAACTTTTACTTTTTTTTAAAGGTTTATTTATTTATACAGGTACTGGGGTACAGGTCAGAGGCGCCGAAGGGTGAGAGAATTCACCAGAGAGAGCGGGGAGCAGAATAGGCAGACGGACAGAAGACACTGCTGAGGGGAGCAGTGGGCGAGGCAGGAGAGGTCTGCCACGTCATCTGCTTTCTCCCTGGCCAGCCAGGACTTGAACCTGCGCTGCAGAGGCTGCGGACAGCTTCACAGCGCAGGGCTCAAACCACTGTGCCACCAGGGAGGCCCCAGCTTCACATAAACTTTGCTAAAGGATGATATGTGCCACCGAAGATCTCTCTGAAAATTTGATATTCTCAAGTCAAGTTATGCAGATAGTCTCATTGAACTTGACCCATCTGCAGACACTGACAAAAGTAAATCCAGAATCAGGCTGAAAACTACACATATTAAGACCACATACCAGGGCCTCCCCAGTGGCGCGGCAGTTGAGCGCTGGGTTGCAAAGCTGCCTGCAGCCTCTGCAGCGCCTGTTCGATTCCCGGCTGCTCCCGGGCAACCAGAGGAGGGTCCCACATGGCGCACAGACCTCTCCTGCCGCCCGCTGCTCCCTCAGCAGTGTACTTCAGTCTGCCTGCTCTGCTCCCCGCTCTCGCTCTGGTGAATTCTCTCACCCTCCCACGCTTCTGACTGTACCCAGTGCTTGTATAAATAAATAAATAAATCTTAAAAAAAAAAAAAAAAGACCACATACCAAAGTTCTGTTATCCTTTCATACCCTGTTCAGGCAGTCAAGTAACCCTTCTTGTCCACTAAGCTGATTCAACAAAATTTTCAACATTATTTTTATATATTTGTATGCATATGCTTTCTTTAAAAAGTGGGTTACACACATTTAAATTCAGCAGTAAAGCAGAGGGATCCTTAACTTACAGAAAAGTTCTGATACAAAAGTATATATGTTAGGAAAGACATACTTCCCCACTAAATAAGATTTTGACTGGTAATAACATCCTGATTTGATTATAAAGTTATTTAATACATCTAAGTGAATAAGACTTCGTGTATGTGTCTGTGTATAGACAGTATATATGTATATACAAAGTAACAAGAATGCTAACTGTACTTAAAAATAAAATTTTAAAGTAGTTATAATTTGAGGATTGAGGGATGAAGAGAATATTGTGCCTATTATTATACTGAGGAAGAATGAGAAGAAGGCAGAGTGGGAGTAGAAGATTTATATGTCATGTACTAAAGACTGCCTGAAGTAAAATTAAGCTGGTGGTCAAATGGCAGTATGAAGGTATGATCTAAGGTGATGCAGACATCAGCCAGATATTTTTCACACCATGTGGGCATTGTATTGTTTGGGAGGTGGCATATAAGCAGTATGCACCTGGCTTTTCTTAAGTGTGAGCTATGAGATATGTTTTAGCAAACGGGATTTATCTTCTGTAGAAATGGGAAGAAGATAAGGCTTTGTGACAGTATTTTAAAGATCATTTTATGAACTGTTATATCAAGACAAAATTTTTTTAAGTAATTTTTAAAAAGATTTATTTATTTATGCATACAAGAACTGGGGTACAGGACAGAGGTGGGGGGGGGGTGAGAGAATTCACCAGAGACAAAGTGGGGAACAAAACAGGCAGACTGACTAATACACACTGCTGAGGGGAGCAGCAGGCGAGTCAGAAGAGGTCTGCTGCGCCATTGTGGGTCAGTTCCCTGGCTGGGGATCCAACTTGTGCTGCAGCGGCTGGCCATAGCTTGATAGTGCTATCTTTAACCCTGAACTACCAGGGAGGCCCTCATCAGGTAAATTCTTAAGTGACAGCTACTACAAGTGTGTAGCCATTGCCGTAATCTGTGTTACCTTTCTCTGACATAGCTTTTGCGTCATCAGTGCAAATGCCAACACAATGCAAGAAGCAAACAATACCTTAGTATTAACTATGAAAATAAATTTTTGACTTCACAGGTCCCAAGTGTACCAGAAACCACACTTTGTCCTCATACCCACCCCCCTAATTCTTTCTGATATTGTACTGAGGGAGCAAAAGGTTTTTATTTCATCCTATACTCTACTGAACACATTTTAACATAGGAAAAAATAATCAGTGGTTAGATTTCCAAGCGAGGTAAAACACAAAAACCCAATGAAATCTTTAACATGGTTGAAATCTATACATGCAATGGTATTTACTATATTGTTTTTTAATAACAAAAACAAAAAAGATCAGTAGGCTTTTGTGGATCAGTCAGAGAAATTGCCATATACATGAAAAAACACCACCAAATTCTAAGCAAATGACATTACATAGTAACATTTAGAATAGTCTTTCCTTATACTTTGGTTATTCTAAAGAGTTGCTTTACTGCTCTATTTTAATATACTGTCCAGTACTTTTTATTTTCTGCACAAATTCAGTCCCACAGAACTAAAAAGGAGCTAATAGATTGTTTCAGTCCTTTCTTCTTGGTGATTGTATATTATAATGTTGAATTAGCTGTGTTTCAAGGAAATCCCAATTAACAAGACAAACCCTATAAGCAACACATGCCTACACAAAACCCAAATTTAATATTAAACATGACAACAGATGTCCCTAATGAAATTAATCAAGATGACATATATGACAGCAACAAGTCTAAGAAATCTGTCTAGAAAGTGATTAGATCTTAGAAAATATAAGCATGCCCCTTAATATAACACTGATGACTGTCACCAGCTTAACTGAGGACTTAGCACTTCATCTCATTTCTCTGACTAGGCTCTATGTCTTCAGCTGCTATTCAGGGGAACTGGTTAAAAGATCTAGTTAGCTTCCTGAAGAGTATCTATGCATTCACTCATTTTTTTGCTTAGAGAAATTTTCTAAGCCATAATTGATCAAGTTTACTGTAATTATTAGTAACAAAATCAACTAAAGTAATACATTATTGCTTTTCCAGGTTATGCCTTGTTCAGCAGCTACCCATAACTCATAGACTGAGGACTAAACTCTGGTATTTAGGGCCATGTACTATTGAATCAATTAGATCTTATATGAATGCACAGCACAAATCCTATGCTTCATAATCCTCAAATATACCAAAGATTTTCCTGGACTATTATCATCTTTGTGTATATATTTCTCCATTCTTAAATTTTCTTTATTCAACCAAAAAAGTATTCCTATGTAAGGTCATTCCTGCCTATTCCCCACTCAAAATGACCCCTTACATCATCTGATGTGAGTTATGCAGGAAAATAAATCCAGAGAGTATTAAAGTTAGAAAGGATTAGAATTCATCTGATCCATCTTATCTTATATATATGTGAAAGAAATGACTCACTAATAAGTAGTTTGGTCAAAGTCACAAATATCTAATGACTAACAGAACTAATGATAACTTATGCTCTTTTTTCTTTTTTTTTTTTAATTTTTTTTAATAGAGGCATGTTTTATTTATTTGTTTGTTTGTTTTTTTTTTTTGTTTTTTTCTTTATACATGCACTGGGTACAGTCAGAAGCGCGGGAGGGTGAGAGAATTCACCAGAGCCAGAGCAGGGAGCAGAGCAGGCAGAAGGACCGAAGTACACTGCTGAGGGGAGCAGCGGGCGGCAGGAGAGGTCTGCGCGCCATGTGGGACCCTCCTCTGGTGGCCGGGGAGCATCTGGGGATCGAACCGGCGCCACAGAGGCCGCGGGCAGCTTCGCAGCCCAGCGCTCAACCGCTGCGCCACCGGGGAGGCCCTATGCTCTTTTTTCTTAGTATGTTAACATATTAGGCCATTTTTGGCAACGAATTATAACTGTGCATCATTAATTATTATTTTAAGTATCCTTCCTAAGACTTGAAGCAACTCAGACATTATACTATTACTTCTACTGCATCTACTATCTGTATAATATTTAACACAGATTCTTACATGTGTTAGATAGTAATGCTTACTGATTTATGATACCATTATCTGTGTTCCCAGATGAAATCAGTATTCTTCCTGAATTTATTAGTTCTTTTATCAAACAGCATTTCTCTAGACAACACATTAACTCTACCATATAACAACAAGAATGAATATCTTTGGAAAGATTTATACTTTTCCCCTATAAAAAGATTCATGACCATGGTCTTTTCCGTAAAATGGTGTAATTTTTGGGTATATTGCACCATGGATAGTATTAAATGCATAAAAAGTGCCACTTGAGAATGTGACACGTGATTCTTTACATCTTATATTTTAGCTATAAACAGTAAAGAATATGAAAACAACTCACAATAAAATACAGATTTACCTGCTTTGCTCAACTTAAAAATATTTTTATAAGTAAAGACCAAATGATAAAAAAAAAAAAATACCTCTCTCCAAATCTGTTCAAACATTTTTTGCTACTTTTCTGTGGAAAACAAGTAGGCAAAACAAAAGCATGCCCAAAACACACTGTACTCTTTTAACAGGCTCATTGTTTAACTGTGACAGGACTCAAACACAAACAATTCCGCAATTGTCTACTGAAGGAGACTAGG